CAAACCACGTAAATCTCTGTGTGTTATTTTCTCCTGTTTTCTTAATTGTTTGATTCCTTACTATTCACCATAATTGCTGCACGATCACAACAATTGGTATCAGAGCCAAGACTACGATGTTTGGGATTTCCTCTACAAAATTCGACATCATGAAGTTCGACGGAACTGAGAATTTCGAATTATGGCAGAGGAGGGTGAAGGAACTGTTAGTGCAGCAGGGCATGGTGAAGGCATTATACGGAAAACAACCGACAGGAATGGACGACATGGATTGGAAAGAATTGGAAGCGAAGACTGTGGCGACTATTAGGCTTTGTCTGGCTGATGAAGTGATGTATCACGTCATGGATGAGGAATCACCGGCGGAAGTTTGGTTGAAACTGGAAAGTCGGTATATATCCAAGTCGCTGACGAACAAGCTCTATCTTAAGCAGAAATTATATGGTCTTAAGATGTCAGAGGGCTCGGATTTGACCCAACACATCAACGTGTTCAATCAGATCATCAGCGATCTGAAGCGAGTTGATGTGAAGTTCGAAGACGAAGACAAGGCGCTGATGTTGCTGAATTCCTTACAGGCGTCTCCTACGTACGAGAATTTAGTTACGACTCTGATGTGGGGGAAATAAACCCTCGAATTGGAGGATGTCACAGGTGCTCTGTTAGGTTTTCATCAGCGGAAGAAAGCCAGTGATGAGGCTTCACAAGGTGAAGGGCTTGTGGTGAAAGGTAACCAGGAACGTGGAAGAAGCAAATCTCGGAATGGATCGGGTAACAATAAAGCCCGGTCCAAGTCGAGGAAGAAGAAGAAGGACGTCTCTGTCTCGTGTTACAAGTGCGGGAAAAAGGGGCACTTTAAACGGGACTGTCCAGAGAAAAAGAAAGGGGATTCAGAGAACAAAGAGGGTGCATCAAAGTCTGCAAACGTAGTGGAAGAAGAAGATTCAGAGAGTGGTGACGGAGATATGCTTTCTGTTTTATCTAGTTCAGATCGTTTAACAGATTCTTGGATTATGGATTCAGCATGTTCCTATCACATGACACCCAACAAAGATTGGTTTGACACCTACAGGTCAGTAAATTCTGGTTCTGTTCTGATGGGTAATGATGCATCTTGCAAAGTTGTTGGAATAGGAAATATTAGAATTAAGATGTTTGATGGTATGGTTAGAACGTTGTGTGATGTTAGACATGTACCGGATCTAAGGAAGAATTTGATTTCATTGGGCACTTTGGATTGTAATGGTTATAGTTACAAATCTATAAGTGGAGTAATGAAAGTAAGTAAAGGCATGCTGACAGTGATGAAGGGACAGAAAGTAGTAGGAAACATTTACAGACTGCTGGGTACTACAATTGTAGGTGGAGTTGCTGCTGTACAGTCTGAATCAGATAATACAGTCTTGTGGCATATGCGGCTGGGTCATATGAGTGAGCGTGGGATGATAGAGCTTCATAAGAAAAATCTATTGAAGGGTGTCAAGACATGCAAGCTCAATTTTTGCAAATATTGTGTTTTTGGAAAACAGAATAGGGTGCAGTTCAAGACAGCCACACACAAGACAGAGGGGGTTCTCGACTATGTCCATACAGATGTTTGGGGACCAGTTAGCGTACTATCACGGGGAGGATACATGTATTTCGTGAGTTTCATTGATGATTACTCACGAAAGGTCTGGGTGTACTTCATGCGGCACAAGTCAGAAGCGTTTGCCAAGTTCAAGCAGTGGAAAGCTGAAGTAGAGAACCAAACAGGGAAGAAGATTAAATGCCTCAGGTCAGATAATGGTACTGAGTACACAGATTCAAAGTTCCAGGAGTTGTGTGAGCAGCATGGGATCAAGAGACACTTTACAGTCCGCAAGACACCACAACAAAATGGTGTAGCAGAAAGGATGAACAAAACGATAGCCGAGAAAGCTCGGTGTCTCAGGTTGAATGCAGGGCTTGCAAAGAATTTCTGGGCAGAGGCAGTGAATATGACATGTTTCTTGATTAACAGATCACCGAGGGCAGCACTAGATGGGAAAGTATCAGAGGAGGTGTGGACAGGCAGTGAGGTAGACTACTCTGGTTTGAGAGTGTTTGGATGTCCAGCCTATGTACATGTTTCTAGTGAGGAGAGGTCGAAGCTTGATGCGAAGTCTAGACAGTGTATCTTTCTGGGATATCAGAAAGGAGTGAAAGGCTTCAAGCTCTGGGATCCGAAGGCAAACAAGATGGTGATCAGTAGAGATGTGGTTTTTGATGAAAAAGCCATGTTGCAGCGTACTCAGGAAGAAGAGAAACAAGTACCAGAAAACTGTAGCACTAATGACCATGTGGTGCAGGTGGAGTTAGAGAATCATGGTAAAGAAGAGGTTGCTCA